TGACAGTTACAAGGAAACGAGAGGCGGGGGTCGAGCCAAACCTTGGAAAAAAAATGGCGGAGCCAAACCTTGGAAAAAAAAACACCTCCGCTAGACCTAAGAAGCAATTAAATTAGAAGCAATACATCTGCCGCAGTTATTCCTATTCTGATACCTACTGTACCTGCTAATTCTCACTGACCGTCGAAGCACACTCAACCCAAACCCAGAATCTTAAATGCCCATCTACACTGGGCTGGAGCTTGACAAATTTGATTTCCGCATCGGGCCTTGAATTTTTGCCATGCACATCCTAAACCCTAGACCCTTGATCCTCAATCCTGAGAAAAACCTGAACCATAAACCCAAAACCGTAAGACCTAAATCCTAATCCCTAAATCCTAAATCCTAATCCCTAAACCCCAAACCCCTAAACCCTAAACCCTAAGCCCTAAACCCTAAACCCTATAAAGACTCTGAGTCATGTGGTGTGCAGGGCGGACGAACTATCGGACAAGGGCTCATCGAGGAGACCATGTGAGGCGGGAACGGGTGCGTCTTTGGGCTGAGGGTTTAGGGTTTAGGGTTGAGGGTTTAGGGTTTAGGGTTTAGGGTTTAGTGTCTAGGGTTTAGGGTATAGGGTATAGGGTTTGGAGTCTAGGGTTCAGGGTTTAGGGCTTAGGGTTTAGGGTTCTATTGGGGGTTGAATTTGGATAATGGAAAATAACATGCTACTATTTTAGGGTTCAGGGTTTAGGGTCTTAGGGTGTAAAGCTTAGGCTTAAGGATTTATGTGCTAGCTATAGCGAAGCTCCCCACCCAATGCTTGAAAAAAAATCCTAACATATACTGTATACTGTGCATGCGATTCTAAATCGCATCTCAAATTGCTTGGGTATGGAATACGCAGCGCGGACATCCATTCCATATCCCGGATCCCGAGGGCATGGATCATCAAGCGTTTTCTCGTATTCTCATTTCAGACCCTCATAAACAGCCGCACACTGCGATCCATGGGGTATGGATCAAACCCACTCATTCCATCGGGTATGGATCAGAGTTTATGGGTTCAACTAGTACCCCCTTCTATACTACCCCCCTAGGTTCCCCCCTTCATTAAACTCATTTAGAGATAATTAGGCTTGATTAAGGTTAATTAAGGGGGAGCCTAGGGGGGGGGGGGTAGTATAGAGGGAGGTACTAGTTGAACCCATGAAGAATGTCTCAAGTAGCTCACCAAAGGCCAGGTCTCAGGACCCTGCACATAATATGTCCGCATCAAAATAGTTAATATATTTAGACTGATCTTGGGATAATGGAAAATAAAATGGAAATTACTATGATATTGGGGGTTACATTGGGATTACATTGGGGTTTCTATTGTGTGGGATGGGGTTTTTGATTTATAGGAGGCGGGGTACTTGACACGGCATAGAGGACTGAACAACTATTGCAGGATTGTAATGCGCAGTGCCCTATAGTTTCGTAACGGTATCAGGGGACAACAATCCGATCTAAAACCGAAACCCCAACCCCTAAATCCTGAACCCCAAACCCTAAACCTCAAGCCCCAATACCCTAAACCCTAAACTTGAGTTATTCAAGCGTTTGCATTTTTGTTCTGCGGCCTTTGGGTTTGAGGTGGCCTTAGGGTTTAGGTTTTCAAGGCACGATACAAGGGAAGTGCGGGGTTATAGGGACTATACAGAGTTCAGGCTTTATGCTTGGATATCCTATCTACATCCTCAATGGTAAGTCCTCAACTCCAGACCGTCAATCCCCAACCCTAAGCCCTCGATCAACAACCCCAAGCCATAAGAACCAAATCCGTGCATCTAACTCCCTAAACCCATAAACCCGTGAACCCTAAGTTCAGGATTCCATTAAGGACCAATATCAAAACTCCTCGCCCCACCCTCCTTTGAGAAACCTCCACATCCCTAAACCCTAGATCGAAAATCCCAGAACCCTGCATCCCTAAATCCGAACCGCGAACCCCCAATTCGACCTCATAACCCCAAGCCCCCCCAAACCCTAAGCCCTAAACCCTAAGCCTTAAACCCTAAACCCCAATCCCTCAGCCCTAACCCCTAAGCCCTAGGTCCTAAACCCCAAAACCCAAGACCCTAAACCATCCCATTGCTACCCTATAAGACCTGAGCCTGCTTGCGTGAAGGTGGCCACGTGGTCCCGCCTTGGGATCTGGCTGCGGACCTGTCCCGCGGCCCAGAACGGTTTAGGGCTTGCAGGGTTCAGGATTTAGGGTCTATAGGGGCTAGGATTTAGGGTTTAGGGTTTAAGGCTGATAGGGTTCAGGACGTAGGGTTTGGGTTGAGGAGTTCTGGGTGCGGGGCTTTGGTAACAAAAAGGATATATGGATTTAGGGTTCGGGGTGTAGGGTTTAGGGTTCAGGGTTTGGGGTTTCAGGTTCCAGGTTCGAACCGTTCCTCAGGGCTTGGAGTTTGAAATTTGGGGTTGGGGGTAGTTATAACCATTTGGGTTTTTGGGCTTCTGGAGCATGTAGGGCTCCAAGGTTTGTGGTAGAGGGTTCGTGGGTAAGCCTTTAACTCTATGAGTTTAGGGTTTGGAGTTTCAGATTTAGGGTTTAGGGTTTGGAGTTTAGGGGCCCTAACTGCCAATTTTTACACCCTGAATGCTAAGTCCTAAGAGTTTGTTTATTGCCCCGGACCAAGTAAGCCTTGGGGCACTGTTCGGGATACCCCGCATCCTCTCATGAGGACATACTGTATTGCTTTCAGATGCAGAACTTCAAGGTGTACCCTGCACCCTAAACCTTAATATCTGAATCCTCTACACAAAGGGTCCATGTAGCTAGGTGGTATATACTTGGGCCCTAGAGTAGTTACATGGGAACCCTGAACCCTAAACCGTAATATCTGAATCCCTCTAACTCTACACTGCACCCTAAGACGTCCACCTGCCCCAGATGGTCTTTCCAAATAAAGGGGCTTTAGGGCCCAAATACCATCAATATTAAAGTATTTGGGCCCTAAAACCCTATTATTTGGGTCCTTGGACCCTTACGGTTATTGTTGTAGAAGGGCACATACTCAGGAACTTTTTTGGGGATCTTTGATGTAACGCTCAGTACGCTTCTTGAGTCTCCCTTGGCCTAGAGTTTAGGCTTTACGTGTGGATCTGTGAGTGCACAGTCAGTTACAAGGTTTTTCAGGGCCCTAAACCCTAAACCCTTCCCCTACAACTCCCCTCCTATACTACCCCTGCACTCCTAGGTTACCTGCTAACAACCACCAAGTAAGTGGCAAAGCTTTGGTGGTACGAGTACTGGCTCTGTTTTTTTTTCAATCTCTCCCTCTTAAACATTAGTAGCCATACCAGCTTGAGCTCCACATAGACCAAGTAAGGATAACCGGGTAATCATAAGGGCATATTGGGGTTATATTGGAGTTATATTAGGGTCATATTGGGGTTATATTGGGGTTATATTAGGGTTGTATTGGGGTTATATTGGGGTTATATTGGGGTTTTACTAGGGTCATATTAGGGTTATATTAGGGTTATATTAGTACCCTTTTTCCTTTTTTTGTTTGGGATTTCCTTATTCAAGCTGAACCTTAGGAAAAAGGGTACCCTTCTGATGAAGGGGTTACTTGGGAACCTCGTGGAAGCACGGTTCCCTGAGGTTACTTATGGGATTCATACTCCCCCGACCTATACGACCCGCCCGAGCTAGGTTCTCCCTTAATTCAGCCGACGGGAACGGCAAGAATGAAGAATTGGATTTAAGAATTGTTGCATATGATGATTTCAAACATGTGGGTCAGCACTA